ATTTGAACTCCAATTCCAAACGTGGGTATGGTATATACATTTATTTGTATTATTAATGACAAATTATTTCCATATACAATAAAAAACAACAATAATAAATAATCAACTTACAAGAAATATTATAAATATAATTATAAAATTATCATTAAATAGGAGTTAATTGCATTTGATTAGTAGTTAATTTACTTCTTAAATATAAATCATTGTCAGAGTTCATTTACAATTATTTTTTATGTCATCAATAATAAATACTACCTCTATTCCTATTTATAAGAAACAAACAACTAATTCATCAAACCAATAAAAATAGTTACATACAATAAATATTAATGTTATTTCAAAAATTGTCTATCATATTAAATGACTAAGTTAGTGGCTAATGGGAAATAAGTGGATACTTATTAATATAATTTTATAATAAATTAAGGATATTAAAATAATATAATAATTAATACATTTAAAAATAAGTATTTGTTTGTTATAATTAGGATAAAAAAATTTAAAATTATTTTCTTATAAATAAAATGGAGGTAGGAGTATACTTTGTTATGATTCTAACACCTAATATCTAAAATAGAAAATAATATTACATCCCTTACGAACAGTTAATGATAAAACTTCGATATAATTCTAGTGTTGTTGGTTTTGTTTATCAATTAATTTTAAATTCTATTTGAATAATATATAATAACATTAAATATAAATATTTAATTAAAATAAAAATCTAATTTCAATTGATAAACAACACTAATAAATAATTTTTAAGTTTTATTTTTAATTTTTTTCTTTTTTAATATATTTTAAAAAATCATATTGCATTTTATAATTTGTTTAAATTAATGAATTGTTGACAACAACAAATTTTGTCTTATTAATTTATCACTTTACAGTACTACATATATAAATATTCTTAAATAAAGGTTCCATCCAATTATAAATTGAATCCCTCGACATGAAAATCAGAATATGTGTACATCTACTTAAAAAGATTTTGGCTAGATATCATTTTCCATAGACAAAAGAAAAGAAAAGTGGGAGCTAGATAATTAATATTAGAATAATTAAATACTTGGTGAGAGTTGAGTTAGAGCTTAAAGAATTTTTTATTTATTTACTTTTTCTAATAAAAATATATACCTTAATAAGATTTCTTTGTTAGAGAACGTAGACGTAAAGTTGCTCTTACATAAATAAAATAAGGCTAAAGAGTCAATGCAAGAAAATTTTAAGAGATCACATTGTTTCAAAATAGCCTATTCTATATTTATTTAAGGTTTACTTCACCACACTTCATCTATTAATTTATTCCTTTTTAGTTTTTTTTATTACGTGTACTCATTTCATAACATATTTTATTAAATAATTTTATGATCAACTGGACACTTACTAGAACACATATATTATAATTAACAAAATAATTATTCTTTCATTTTTTATGTTACTTTAAAAAGCAGGAATTAAAGAAATAAATTTATTTTATTTTATTAAAATATTTATTTTATTATTATATTCTTCATTTTTATAAATTAATTAGTTTTTCTTTGAGTTAAAATTTAGTAAAAAATTATTAATATTTTATCAAATTTTAAAAATAATAAATAAATAAAAATAATTTAAAGAAAGAGTAATAAATAAAAAAGAATCAAGGGAATAATATCAGAAAGCAAGACTCATAAGCAGCAAAAGAAATTTTGGGAGCTGACCATTACACTAAATTAATACAACTTGCCATGATTTGGCAATGCCTATTAGCCTATATATGCTTGAGGGTTTTTCAAATTTTTTCAGTAATATAATAACACATGTCTATTCATAACTCATGTAAAAAATAAATTAGGTAATATCTTGATGCTCAAGCATTTGAAGGGACAGTGGACCAACACTTGGCATCACGAGTAATGACATTTAATATGTCCATTTATATTTGAGAATTTTATATTACATGGTCAGAGTTACAAGAAAATTTCTAGGGAGACATCTTTATTTTGAAAAATTGAACCATTCCATTAAAAACTCATTGATTAAAATATTAAACTATAACTTAAAAATTCTTCTATTTATTATTAAAAAATATTAAAATTAATTTTAAATATATAATTTAACTGAAAAATTACTTTAAAATTTAATAAATAACTTTATTATATGAATTTCAACAAACGAATTAAAATAATTAAACATGTTACTAATGTTCGTCACTTTCTATATATTAGACTTTATTTAGTGCAATATCAAAGAGTTCTTTATTTATAATTAAAAAACATATTATAAAATTTACTATAATAAACTTTTGCATTATAATAAAGTCAATAGTATCTAAAAATTTATTATAATTAATTTCTGCATTAAATTAAAATCTACTATAATTTAGAACACAGTCAATTGTAATAGTTTTTCTGTTTTAGGATGAAGTGAATTATAATTGACGTGATGTATGTGAGGGGTACATCAATATAAAAGTGGATGATATCAACTTCTTTGTCAATGAATTGAATGGATTTGGTTTAACTCGACGTCCATTAAATTCAAAATAAGACATATACAAAATATGTTATTTATATAACAAATAATAAAATGCTCTTCACATGTATTCCGAGACAACAAACGTGGCTGCAGGTTATTCATCCATGTAAGAAAGGAACCAGTACCTTTAAAACGCAGAGAAAACACCTTGCAACAATTGCACTCGTAGGCAGGTACAATCCTGTGTCTTGATACCATCCAACGTCATGGATTGAGCTAATCTCCTCTCACAATCAACCTTGCCAATTGCCACCTTCTTCTTTCTCTTCCTTCTTGCGTCGCTACTGATGGAGTGGGTCGATTGTTGTGTCTGATGCGGTGGCGTTTTTGAGATGGGCGAGAAAAGGAAATGAAAAAGACAGTGAAGGAGTTAGATGGGTATGTAGGAGTGAATGGAAGAGTGCATAGTGGGTGGATATCATGTCCCTTCTGGCACACGTCTTTTGACTAACCTCATTCAAAGCTTCAACGAGATCCCTTACTGTACTCTCATCCTTTAGAGTTTTGGCCCTGAGAGACTCCTCGCTACCCACATGGATGTTGAGGTGATTTGGTGCTGGTAGAAGAATGTGTCCTTGACTATCATTCGCTCTTCAAATAACACTTGCCACTCTATTGCATGGATTTCAGATTCAGACTTTTGATGCCAAACAAGTTGACATGGCTGAGCAGATTGGAATAACCAACATCAAAGCCTCTTCGCTCCATATCATTCTGACACCATGTTTATCTACCATCTATTTGAAGCAACTCCTAACTCACAGCCCAAAATAAACAAGTCCAAACCCGCAACTCCTTACTACGACCAGAAAGATATATCCGGAACTCCTTTTGTAAAATAACGGGAAAACAAGTTAAATTTTTTTAAAATAATTATTATATTTAAAATTGTATAATTAAGTTCATAAATTTTAACAATATTTTTAATTTATTTTTCTTCATTAAATATGAAGACCTGACTAAAAAATTAAATAACTAAAGGATTATATTACTAGTTTAATTATGAAAAATGTTAAGGAATAGTTTTTAAGAATATGAAAGTAATATAATTTTATTGAAAATAAGAGTTTATTATATTAAAATAAAAAATTTTCCGTGACATGTAGTAATTATTTTAGAAATAATTATTATATTTAATTCTAAAAAATAAATTTTCTTGAGTCGCACAAACAAACAACAAAAGCACTAAAACAATAATAAGATTTGATATTATTATAATATAAATATAAAATTTTCTTAATTGTGTCCAAAACACTTCATAAAAATTTATATATAATATTTTTTTATTAAGAAACACAATCTAAAATTTTTTCGTTTAGATCACAAGCATGTTTCATAAAAGGCAATTATTTTCAACTTGAATAAAATTATTATGAACAACAAAATTTCCCTTCTAAACATTTAATACAACTGCATTTATCAAGACTAGAACTTAAAACCATATACTAAATTAGAATAAGATTTAGTCAATCCACATTCTCAATAGTAATTACAATCTAATATATTGATAAGACTAAATATAATAATTAAAAAACATTCATTAAGAAAAAGTTGATAAATTTATGGATATAAAGGTCATAAAAACAGTGATCGCGACTTCGTATGATAAGCAATTTAAAGTTTAAACAGAGAATTTAAAAAAAAAAAATTAAAAATAAAAGTTAATGAAAGTGGAGTGGAAGAGTTAAAGGCCTTGATGGCGTTTCGTTTGGATAGTGTAAGGCAAGAAGGGTCTACGCTCCATAACTGATGACCCTACAACACCTTTCAAGAAACAAATGATGAATTGGCGTATCATTCAAGCCAGCCTAGCCAAGTCTTTCCCTACTGCGAAAGGTGTGGTCCAATCACCAAACTTTCATTGCCAATTTGATATTGACTAACTCAATTAATATTTTATCTCCCTATAACCAGAGGAGAAAATTAGTACAGTAGAGAAAAGTGCCAAATTATACAAATATCTGTGATCATAGTTGTTATACACAAAAGTTTAGTCACTTTCCGTCGTCATCTTGTCTTTCAATTAATGAACCTCTTTGGCTTGTCAAAGATTATCGATACTAATAATTCAACACAAAAATATAGCTTATCAATATTATAATCAAGGTTTAGGGTTTACTAAGAGGATAGTTGGAACTTGGAAGAAATTATTTCAGCTTATTAAAACATTACTTTCTTAATTTTTTTAAACATATTTTAATTATTATGGCTTTGATAAACATGCAATGTATAACCACAAGATAGCTGGTTCATCTTATGGCTTGCTGTTTGCTTTACTCTCTGCATCCGCACGGGTAACATTATAATAGTTATTTTTCATTTATTAATCTAACAACACCTACACAGTCAGAAGCTTGATGCTGTGACTTTGGAAATCTAATTTGCAACTTAACACATTATAACATTAACTTCAGAAGGTGAAGGATATACACATTGCAAGTTGCTATTAACAAAATATCATACTCTTTTCAAGTCCACCGGATACACTTGCTGACATAGATAATAGCAAATCTTGATTGTTGACACAACATCGTTCAAGTGACATCAACTTAACTCTAAAAGATGTCAAACATGTTAAAGGAAAATACTGGCTAACAGAAGTAAGAATGTATACCAACCCCTCCATCAACAGTTAACTTTTACCTTAACATTATCCATTGTACCGCAAACAAATCACAAAGCCATATATGCACTCTTCTTTGAATCATTCCTCAACCACGTTAACCAATTCATATTCAACCAGGGATAGGTTGTTATCCTCTTTAACTACAAATTTTGCAGGTTCAGTTACCTCGATGCGGCCCCATTTGTCAACAGCTAGCCTCATTGATCCCTTAAACATGTCAATCTTTGCATTACGAAGAATCACCGTATTCTCAGGCTTCATCAAGTCAACTGCACACAGAGGGGAGAAAAGGTCATCCCTTACACAATAGAACATAAACCAATGTTGTCTCTCCACACTCCACCCCTACACATATACCATGTATCAATACATGTGTCATCAATCAATAAACACACACAAGGAAACTTTGTTAAATGAAATCACCTTTTAACTTCTTGCATAATTTGACGGGTGGCATTCCGTAACATAAAAATGTTTGCAAACAAAAAATAAGTAATTATCACATGACCATTTTATCTATATTGCGCATCAGATTTTTGCCGTTTTGATCGCCTTTCCTTTCTTCACATGATTATCTAACAAAGCCTAATCTACTCTATTTACCTTTTATTTCCATTCCTCCTATCTTCTTTCCTCTTATTTCTTTCCTCCCTATTTCATTCCTCATCCAAGGTTAACAGTTGACATAACTTTCTAGAAGTTGCCAACTACTACTAGGGAATAAATTGCAGACTCTGAGATAAACAAAACACTTATCTTAAACAGTCAATAACCAGTTTATGAGTATGTCAATATTTTCAAGGAAATTTTTTTTGAAAAAGTTTAATCAAAACAAAATTGTTTGTCTACAGTGTACATACAGGATGATAACAAATACATCAACACCCAAGAGTTTCAAAGAAGCAACGGTTAATATGTGAATACAAAGCTGGTGATATGCAAATGATATGAACAAATATGACTGAAAAACTCAATGAAATGCAATATCATGGTCACTCCAAATGAAAGTAAAACGAGCATGAAATAACTGACTTGGACTTAAAATTTTCAAGGCATCGAGACTAACTCACTGGTATGGATTTTAAAAGAAAATGAAGGAAGCCCAAATTCATTCGAAACACATTCAAAGCAGTAAAACCTTCCATCACAAAAGACACAAAATGGAGATTCATGTAATTCACAGCCTTGACAAAGAAAACCTTGAGAAGGCATACAAAATCCATCCTTTATCAGCCTGAGCCAACAACAACCACATATCTAAAGAACCCACTATGCCTATTCAATCTCATAACTTTTAATTCTATCAAATATCACGAGAGGAAATTCCTAAAGCAGAACACATCAAAGCATAAAAGGGATAATGATTACAATCAATCACGATTCCGATTTCAAGCAACCCAACCATTTGCGAGAAAGGCATTCCGATCTCCATTTTCATTTCTCAAGCACGCATTATCAGATCCATCGAAGAAAACCCCAAGTGAATAAGAGACAAAAATAGAAAGACAATCTTTAAAGCAATAAAAGCGTGCCCAAATGGAAAGTTTGAATTTTGAGGAAACAAAAAAAAAAAAAGGGCTATGGGGAGAGTAAAAGGACCTTGATCGTTGCGAGCGGTGAAAATGATGGTGCCGGTGTCATCACCGATGAGACACTCGGCGATGAGAGTGGGTCGAAGGTTTTGGGAAGAAGAGGGTCGTGCCTTGTGTAAAACGGTGCTGGAGGATAACACCTTTGCGATCAAAGTGTGACCGTTGGTTCCCGGTTTCAGTTGATCCACTTTGGTGAAAACGGGCTTTCTCTTAGCCGGTTTGTCGGTGGCACTTGCTTCTTGTTGCTTATTCGCGGAAGCCATTGCTTCTGAGTCTGATGCTTCACAATTGGCTTTCCTTTTCCTCTCTCTCTGACGAATGGATTTTGCAGAGATTGGAATAATAAAAAGCCTTCAAATGGCATTTCATCGTCACTTTTTCTGTTGGAAATGATGCGACACGTCGTTTCAGATCGAATCGCCAAATGTCACGTGACATCCCACCAAGCCTTTACACGCTTCCCTTGCTTCGTTCTCGGCCCACACAGCCCACAAAAATAAATATATAACTTTTTCAATGTTTATAAGGAGGTACACAAATCATAAATAATTTATTTCAAACTATATATAATTTTATAAATTTAATAAAAAAGAATAATTTTTTATTTTATATATTTTAAATTTTTGTTTAATCAATATAATATGAAAAGTCTATCTTATAAACATGTTTTATTTTTTTAGTATAAAATTTATCAGGTAAAATATTAAAATTATAAATAAATATAATGCGATAACATAATATATATAATTTATTTAATTTGTTCAAATATAACATTCATTGCAATTTTATAAATAATATAATATGTATTAAAATATATTACATTACTTATCACCTCTAAATTCGTTGACATGTTATAATTAGATTTATATCACATTGTTTAAATATGACATGTTACAATCAGATTTAAAAAATTAATAAAAATGAATTTAATAATATTTATAAAATTTAAAATATATTTTATCCAGACTATTTTCGATTTGCTGATCATTATAAGTTTTTTGAAGACTTTACAAAACTAAAATTTACAAACTAAATTTAAACGATTTCATTTATCCTTTGAAATTACTAGTTTTGATTTGATTTGATTTTTTATGGCACAACCTATTTCCATAAGTGAGGAAGTAAAAGTTATTTTTTGTTAAAAAATTGGACAATTTTTTTAAAAAACACTTACAAGAATTCCAAGATAAATGAGAATATCTTTCAAAACATACATAAAATTTGTTGTTAATTAAATATAAATTATCATAATCTTGATAATTTTAAATTTGCAGAGAATATCGTGGGAGTCTCAAATTATTAGTTCAAGATTTTAAATAAAAGGTATTTTCTTACTTTATTGAATGTTAATTTAACTCATAAAGCATTAACACTTAGTAGAAAACTCTCTTTGTTGAGAAAATGTTGTTTCACATACTTTTCATTAGTGAGATATTGTTAATTCTTTTGCTCTCAAGACTCATGTTACTTGTATCAAGTTTATACACTTTTTTGGGTCATTCTTTACAGACATTTCTAACTATTCTTGTGGGGACTAAGGGATTGGGCTTCTACATAAATTAACACCCATTGTTGGACTGAGTTGGGGTACAATGGGTTGTTTCTAAGTTTCTCTCTCTGAAAGATTTATTTGCAATGAATATCCACTAGTCCTTGACTAGAAAGAAGTATGCTCTGCACTTGCCATTTTAATGGATCCTGTGCATCAGAAAATTTATAGGTAAAAGATCCTGTTGCTACGGTCCTCTTTATTATGATTCAGGAAGGATGATCAGCATGAGTATAAGAAAAATGCATATGGGTTTGCTCAAAGTATTAGAAAGTGCTGATAGTTTCTTTCTGGGTTATGATATAAGAGGCTCCCGGCCAGTGATGGTATCAGAGCCTTCAAATTATTTGATGCTCATATCCTCAAGGTTTATCGGCTGGACAACTGACAGGCACTTACCGGAGAAACTGTTTTTACAGTTGCCCCTGTCTGTAACAAAGCCACAAACTCCTGTATTTATTCAGAGCCTAAAGTCTCTGTTGAAAGAAGGGATAAGTGTGATAGTCATTGCAAATAAAGTCAGTAAGAGTTACCACAACACCATGTTACAAGTAGTGGAGAGATTTCAGAAGAAGTGTCTGTGGTTGTATTCATGGTGTTGTGGTAACTCTTACTGACTTTATTTGCAATGACTATCACACTTATCCCTTCTTTCAACAGAGACTTTAGGCTCTGAATAAATACAGGAGTTCGTGGCTTTGTTACAGACAGGGGCAACTGTAAAAACAGTTTCTCCGGTAAGTGCCTGTCAGCTGTCCAGCCGATAAACCCTGAGGATATGAGCATCAAATAATTTGAAGGCTCTGATACCATCACTGGCCGGGAGCCTCTTATATCATAACCCAGAAAGAAACTATCAGCACTTTCTAATACTTTGAGCAAACCCATATGCATTTTTTTTATACTCATGCTGATCATCCTTCTTGAATCATAATAAAGAGGACCGTAGCAACAGGATCTTTTACCTAGAAATTTTCTGATGCACAGGATCCATTAAAATGGCAAGTGCAGAGCATACTTCTTTCTAGTCAGGGACTAGTGGATATTCATTGCAAATAAAGCTTTCAGAGAGAGAAACTTAGAAACAACTCATGATAGGAATGAAACACAAATTTTATTTCGGGTTGATCTCCTCTGCCTTCAAATAGCAAGAGCTCCTCCTTATATAGAGGATGGACAACAAACATAATAATTATACACGACAAGGTTGGATAAGATTCCCAAACCTTTTACAAAGTGGCTTTTTTAAAGCATATAAAAGCTTAAACTTTAAGTACATCTGATTCACACAAAAACAAAATGCCTAAAGATACTTTATTACATAAAGGTTCTTTATCAGAGATTCTTCAGTCCTTAAAGATTGGCTCGTGACTTGGTGACAAGTTGGGATCAGGACTTGAGGTGTAGCTTATGGAATCATCCGGATCTTGTGAATCCATGTATGTATCATTATGTGAAGACCCTTCATCTTTGATTATTATATGGCTTGTCGTTTCCCAATTTCCAAATGTGACACTGGAACAAGTTACTGGTGGACTTATCTGTTGAACTTTATTCCAGATAGATGGATCATCACTATCAGAAGGGCAAATTATGTCCATTGCTTTTAATTTAGAGCATGTAGATTTTACTTTAATCATTTCTTCAAGAGCTCCATTTTCCACATGAAGGTGAATATTTAAATCTGCCTGATTAAAAGGTGGTCTGTCTGGTTGAGATATTTCTTTGAGATTGAAATAAGTATTCCAAACTCTGACCTGATTTTGAGAATAAAGTAATTTCGTAACAGCATGTTCAAAATAAGGTCTGTGAATGATTACCACCGTCACATGCTTGGGGGTTTCTGCTGGAGGCAGATCAATTTCTTTCCAGATACTAAGTCTTTCCATTTCAGTCTGAACATCTTTTATCCAATTTGGAATAGGTTGGAACCAGGATAAAAATTTCCATACCAATGTTGACTGATTTCGTGGGTCACTGAGGAACTCAAACAGATTGAATGTAGGAAAAACTATAGGGTAATGGTACAAAAGGGTGGCACACCAAAGATACCATACATCTTCTTCAATTAAAGGAAAATCCATTAATAATGCAAAGATGTTTAGGTATGGTGCATCAGGTTGAAACCAGGTAGGTTTAGGTTTAACATTACGATGGTAGAGTGAAAGAGACAAATAATGGAACATGTGATTTTTTGCAAAATCTTTGATGTATTCTATAGTGATAACGTCATGTCTCATATCTGGTGGAAACAATGGAAGAGGAGTTGATCCAGAGCTGGTACTGGTTTCAGCAATATTGAGAGGGAAAATTAATGGATATGTGTTTAAGGTGGTAACAAGGGTAACTGGTTTTTTTGGTCTGGACAAAAGATCAGGAACAACATTTTTTTCTCCTTTGATGTGTTTAACAGTAAAATCATACCTGGAGAACCAATTTTTTAGTCTGAGAACTTGAGGATCAGGTGGCATCTTATTTTTGAAATCAAGCAGTGCAGGAAAAGCAGAATTATCTATATGGACTTCAAAATTATAACCTCTGAGATAGAAGTCAAATTTTTTAATACCATTTTTGACTGCAAGGGCCTCTTTGAATGTTGTATGATAATGCTTTTCAGATTCTTTAAATTGTCCACTGGCGTGTCCACAATAAGCCTTTTTTCCATTAATTTCTTCAAGTAGAACAGCACCCCAATAATGATCACTAGCATCTGTTTGCAAAATTCTTTTTCCATCACCAGGAATTTTCAATGGGGGAGGATTTTGAGCTATCTTCTTCAAATGTTGAACAGCTTCAGTTTGTTCATTGCTCCAGGATAGAGGATTTTTCCTTAGTAATTTTGACAAAGGACTTGTGTACTTGGCAGCATTAGGGATGAAATCCCTAATATAATTCAGCACTCCAAGAAATTGTTGAATCTGTTTGACTGTAAAATTTTCATCAGGAAAATTTAGGAGTTTTTCTGCAATGTGAGGCTGTGGTTGATAATTTCCCTGAGAAAAGTGCATTCCCAGAAAATCTATCTGGGTTTGGGCTAACTGAATCTTTTTTTCTGATAACATAATCCCATAATCATTTGCAAGCTCAAAAAATTTATTCAAGAGAATTTTATGGGATTCAGTATCTTTTGAGAATAATAATACATCATCTATGTAGATGAGTGTACTATCTAGAATGGGTTCAAAGATTCTGGTCATGGCTTTCTGAAAAAGGGAAGGTGCTACCTTTAAACCGAATGGAAGGACTTTCCATTGATATTGAGCATTTGGTATGCAGAAAGCAGTTTTGTATCGATCAGAAGGATCAACACCAAGTTGCCAAAATCCTGACTTTAAATCAAACTTTGAAAAGATTATGGCATCTTTGATTAGTGTATTTAGAGAAGAGGTTTTAGGAATAGGAAATTTATCATCTTTGAGAAAATGATTAAGAGGTTTGTAATCAATGACTAACCTCTTTTTTCCTCTGATCTTCTCAGATCTTTTTTCAACATAGAAAGCTTGGCATGCCCATTCAGATTTAGTTGGTTCTATCAATCCTTGACGAAGAAGTTCAGTACATTCTTGTCGAGCCATCTGGAGGTCAGTCGGACTCATTCCAGGATGTGTGGCTTTGGTGGAATTGATGTCTTCATTGAGCTTGAAAGGGAGTTTTATAAAAAACTCTGGATTGTTCCAAATGGGTCTGGGATGAGAGAACTTTTCATGTCCATCTGCACACAAAGTTTTTAATTTTTCTTTAATCTCAGAGTATTCTGTGGGGCTTTCTTCAAGGGAATAAAGCTTCAATATATCTGTATAAGGCTTGAAGGTTCTTTTG